AATTATATTTTGATTTCTACATCTAATATTCAGTAGCATTTAATAGTTTATGAATTTCAATAAATTTACGTGTAAGAGGCTTATTTCTTCGTCAACAGATTAGAGGTGAAATTGAATTTGTACATAACATTTATACTCAAGTAAAAACCGAACAAACCGATCCGAACCAAACTGAACCGACTTGAATCGGTTCGTTCGGTTTTGAATGATAGGCGGTTCAGTTCGGTTTGACCAAATTTGGCCATAAACTGAACCGACCGACCGATTGCACAACCCTAAGCCTAATCTCCAGCTAATCCGAAATAATCTAAAATGAATCAAGAACTGTTGGGGTTGAGCTTGTTCTGGCACTTGGGCCTTGACTTGTTTTTTAAGCCCAACAAAAATTCTCAGTCCTGACGGGGAACATTGGATGGGTATCAACCAATATAGTAAAAGGGTCTTGTACAAATTCTTCTGAATTGTGAGGTGGAACTTTATTTATTCCGCAAATATGTAGAGTTAGATATTGAGTCCGTAAAATATGTAGTGTATACAATAAAGCATATTAAGTCTATCCCTTAAATAGGGAGGTATTGCTACAGAAAGAAGAAGCGGACCAGGTTCGAGTCCGGATCGGCCGATCCTCTAACATCTTATTATATAGTAAGCCTATAATTAGTTATGTGGGCTAATATTATTAATTTGTTTCAATGGCCCCATAATTAAAAGTTCCTTGTATAAGTTAGATAAAAAATATAACGGGTTTTCTATAGAGTGCCCATGGGCACTCTATAAGAAATGAGAGAGATAAAAAGAAATGAATGAGGAGGGAATCTCAATGCAAATTAGGGGTCCCCTATCTTCATTCATTTCTCTCTCTCTCTCTCCTCTCTTATAGAGTGTCCATGGGCGCTCTATAGAAAAACCGAAAATATAATTCAGAAGGTCTACCGAGTAAAGAGATATTATTAGCAGATTGTAAAGTTCTTCTCCAATCAAACATGTAGATGATCTGTAGGCCCAAGTTTCTGCTTTTAAAAAAAAAATTGATGGAAGGACCAAGTTCCTGGTTTGTGGCTAGTAATTAATAAGCAAAACTTTCTAATTTTCCGTATGAGAAATAATTGCCAAAGAGACCAAGAATAACCTTCATGTCAAGAAAATTGAAACCAGTACCTTTAGTAGGTAAACTTACTCCACAAAGGACGACTAGTTAAATTTCCCTACCTGTGACATTTATTTACAGTGCAAGATTTCCACAACCTGGAATTTGATATAACCATTTCAATACCAACATATACCACAAAGTTTCCATTAGTCAATATCATCATTGCAATCCCGTAGACTTCTACAATTATAGTATTTTTTTTCTCGCTCAATGACGTCACAGTCAATGCAGTTTACCTTGTCAAATGGGATAGACCGATAGAATATATAATCAAAGATTTTTTCTATTACATCCAAACTTTAAAGTTTTAGTGAGCTTGAGGTTTACATTACACTCTAAGTGTGTCATCATGAGTCAAATGCTGAAACTTGGACTTACGTAATGATGTATTTCCTAATACACTTTAAATAGCAATGTACGATTTGAATATGAATATCAGATTAGAATCTTTGTCGTACATTAAAACTCTAAAATTTCAGTAAATAATTTTATATTCTAGCATAGCATGGACAAGTTTTGCGAAAAAATAACTGAAAATTCAAATCGCCATCAAATTAGATTTTGGAGAAGTTCTAATGTGAGTTTCTTTAATAGAATGATTATTTTAGCCAAACCAAAGGATTAATATTGAAATATTGTAGTGTTTGAAGGTAAGCGCATCACATCTACAAACGCGTTTAAAAGCTCGTGTAAACCCTAGCCTGGTATAAAAAGCGTCAGTTGAGTCAAAGCGGGTTAAGCAATCAAGTCGGTATTCGACCCGGCTATTAATCTGAATAAACATTTTTTATTTAAGTTTGAGTGAGTGGGTCTTCCATTGTTGCTCCTATTTTGAACCAAATTGGATGCTAATTAATGGCCCATAACCCATATCCCATTTATAATCATGCAGGTTCTCTATTTAGTCCCACATCGGTTAATTATATGATTTAAATTGTATTAAAATAGTATAATCCAATTCCATAAGTCACCGAGCTTAGTTGCGTGAGCTTGCAACTATGCGGGGGTAATAAGGTTAGTCAGATGATGCTAACCTCTACCAGTGGAGCACACGGCACGTGTTCTATAAGTGATATCCAATTCGAACTCTTCTCTAAAGAACCCACTCAGGTAGTAGTTTTCCATCACACAACCGTTCTTTTTCTAAAGTTAAAAACAGGGCGACGTGCCCTATTTACTTCATTATTCGTAGGAAACTATTTTTTTTTATTTTTGAAGTGAAAATAAGGGCGAGAGATGCCTAATTCATTTCATATATAAAAACTGTTCATAGGAAACCAATCAAAATTTGGGGAGAGAAGAAGAAGTCAGATCGATAATCAACACGAACTTAGGGAGAGGACCCTAGTCACCTAATGCATAGTGAATACCGATCAAAAACTCTATCTACACCCCAAAACTAGATAACTAAGAAATTGTTTTGAGCTTGACACCCAACATACCACAAACCAGAAGTACATACTAGTAACCCACATATTGTTTTTATATATACAGGAAAAAACTGTCCATAGGAAACATTTTTTATTTTTGTAGTAAAAATAAGGGCGAGATGCCCTATTCATTTCATATATAAAAACTGTCCATAGGAAACCAATCAAATTTTGGGGAGAGAAGAAGAAATCAGAACGATAATCAACACGAAATTAGGGAGAGGACCCTGTCGTCACCTAATGCATAGTGAATACCGATCGAAAACACTTTACAAAACCAGATAACTGAGCGTTTGGCAATCGTAATGTTTTTGCCGTTTCTGTTTTTTTCCAACAAAAACAAAGAAACGCGTTTGACAACCGGAGCGTTTTTTTGATTTGTCCCTTTACAAAATCTAAAAATTAAACACTTTTCTCAAAACACCAAAAAGGTGTTTTAAGATTTCGTTTTTCATCTAAGCCGCCGTAGCCGCGCTCACTGAACGACGTCGTTGTCCCCGCCGCCACCGTCGCCCTTGGCCCGCCGTCACCCGCGGCCACCGCCCGCTCGTCATCCGGCCGCCCACCGCCCGCCGACCGCCTCATCCGGCCGCCACCGTCCGCCCGCCCGTTAGCCGACGCCCGCCGTCGTCAGCACTACCGCGCTCCTCGCCGTCGCGTGTCCGCCCGTCGGCCGCCCGCCGGCGCCCACCACCCGTCGACCACCCGCCACCCATCGACCACTCGGCCGCCTGCCGCCGCCGCCCGCGCGCTGCCCCAGTAGCCGACAGTCATCATTCTCGCCGGCCGCCGACCACCCAACCGCCGCCGCCGTCCGCCCACTGCCGCTATATAAATGGTCAAACTAGTTTGACCAAAATGGTGTTTTCAAAACACATTTGAAAAAGAAACATCATGGCATGGCGTTTTTTACAAAAACACAATAAAAAGAAACACATTGATTTAAGAAATCGTTTTGAGCTTGACACCCAGCATACCACAAACCAGAAGTGCATACTAGTAAGTCACATATTGTTTTGATATAAACAGGAAAAAACTAGAACTAGGAAGTTGTAATAAAAAATACCTACGTTTCAAAGTGGATATATTATATTTTAAAGTGAATGGTGGCAGAATATGAAAATACCTACGTTTCATAGGGGTTTATTATAAAAAAAGTATCCATGGTTTGGCCTTTTTATATACAGAGAGTGCTAATGAGAATTTTGTGTGCCTAAGGCTAAATCTATATATCTGAATGAGGCGTAAATATGCATTACTCCTTAGAAATTACCTTAAAGTTGTAATAAAAACATGTAAAAAGGACTAATCTACTGATAGTAATTTTATAGATAGTAGATTGCGTAAGATACGTCCGCTTTTCAAATTTAATCATCTACATTCCTTCTGTGATATTGGTCCCGAAAATGTTTCATGTTTGAGAATTAGTCCTCCGGTAATTTTACAGATAAGAGTTGCGGATTAATTTCAAATTTCAATGATTTTGAGGACCTAATATAAAAATATTATTACGTATTTGAGGGATTGATATCGAAATTAGATGATTCAGAACAACGACTGTGAGACAAATCTACCGACTCACTTCCTCTCTTTGTTCTCGGCCCTTGGTTCCTCTCTTTGCCTTCATCCTCAATTCCTCAAAATCGAATAAGAATGAGCATATGAATAATTATTTGTATTATTGAAAATTATATATATTATAAAATTGATGAGGATGAAGCCATACATAGATATCAAGAAATAAAGGCAATAAGTGTGTTATTGTAAACGCTATTATCATAATAATAAAAGGATGGTTGTATAATGCAAACATTACTAAGATATTTTATTTTGTTTTATTTTACTTGATGTTGTTGTTGTTGCTGCTTTTTTTAGGGCAAAAGTTAAAAACACCTATGATTCATGGAGTTATGTATAAAGAATCCATGTTT